AGAGCAACTCCCCCACCTCTCCTTGTTGGCCTGTCTTTCCTAAAGAGTCTGTAGCCATCTATGACAGCATGCCAGTCATGCGAGTTGTCCCACCACGTTTCTGTGATGGTGACCAAGTTGTAGCCGTCCTGCTGTATAATGGCTTCCAGCTCCTCCTGTTTATTGCCCACGCTACGTGCATTGGTGTAAACACACTTGAGCTGGGCTGTCAGTCTCACCCCTGACCCTGGCCCACCAAGCCTGGGCTCATCCCTAGTGAACAGGGCGATGTCCCCTTCCCCCTTCGAACCTACTTTAAAGCCCTCTCAATGAGCCCCGCCAGCTTGTGGCCAAGAATCCTTTTTCCCCTATGAGATAGCTGAGTTCCACCTGTCGCCAGCAGGCCCGGTGCTGTGTACACCTCCCCATGATCAAAGAAGCCAAAATTTGACCAATGGCATCAGTCCCTGAGCCACCTGTTAACCAGGTGAGTATTAGTCTCACTTTCACACATACAATGTGCAGTTACTTAAGGAGAGCTCCAGTGAACACGCGTCACAGCATTTTACTTCATAACAGAATAAGATCATTATACGAACTGCCCCTTTCACCTTTCCAAAATCTGATGGTGTCTATTTTTCAGTATTCAGAAGGCATCAAAACAAACTACAGAACTTTAAAATCTTTATTCATACTTCTTGGTTCTACTCATCATACCAGTCAGTACCAAGATGGTAGGCAATAGAGTATTCTGCTTTGGGAAGATGGACTTTTGTTATTCCATTTGTTTTCAGAATATAATTTACCAAAAGTGAAAAAGCACATGTAGAGCTAGACAGAACACACATGCCTGTATGCACAGTAAATCTAATGACAACAACAAAATTACAGTGACTTTCCTAAGTCAGTTTAAGCACCTAAGAAACCTAGCCAACTAGCCTGGGTGAAACACCACCAGAAGTCTGAGCATGAGTCAGCCCTAAGGTCTATAAAAAGTTCTGGACTTACCACAGATAAAAACTGCAGAGCAAAAAAGATTTATTCTGTTTAACATTCCACTGCCACTGTCTTTAAAAAAAAAAAAAAAAAAAAACACCCTACAAATTTCTTGGCCAAGTAACTGTTTTTAATAGTCTCCTCTGAGGGAGGGGAAAAAAAAAAACAAGAGCGGAGCGGAGGGAGGAATGTAATGCTAGCAAAGAAAGAAATTAATTACTGAGATATGTCAGGATATAGATACATCCAAAATACAAGCTATTTACGTATGAACAGAAAGATAAAAAAGACTTTTCGATGTCTTTTCTACTCATCAACGCAATCACGACTGAAAGAAAAACATCCCTATATATGTTTCTTTCATGCCATACAACTTACATCTTAGGTTTGGAAAAACTGTTCAAGAAAAAAAAGTAACTATCAGCGTGCTTCAAAAATTATTATCTTCTGCTGTCCCCTAGTGGCACTGTAACTTGTTTCACAAAATTGATCAAAGAATATTTTCAACTGTAGGCTTCACAGGCTACAGAACAGAAGGCATAAATAGAAATTAAAAGCCAGAGGAAATTAGTTTTGCAGACAATTATTACAAGCAGGTCTTATTTACTTAGAATTTTTGAAACTACAACTCACAGGAAAACACTGTGATCTAGTATTTTAAATCACAGACTTTTCTAAGAGATTGTGTGACAAAAATATAGCCTAAAATATTTATGGGCCTGGCTATGACACTGTTAATATTTTAGAAATTCTGTTATTGAACTAGTTAAGACTTTAAACAAATGATTTAAAAGCAGTTGGAAGAAATAGCTTCCAATCACACCAATCGCAGCATATCTTTCAAGTTAAAAAAAAAAAAAAAATTATGCCAATGCTACCATAAAGTAAAAGCATTACTGGAAAACCCCCAGATTTTTTTGATCTTACTTTACCATATATCAAAAATGCAGGAGTTGCAATTTATGTGCTGTAGTAGGATAAAACACAAGTGAAACGCTACTTAGGGAACACAGTGGTCTCATCCACTTAAAAATCAATCATTGTCTTTCATCTTGGATAAGGCTTTAGAGAACTGTAAAACAGATGTGGGAACACATCCACAACTGTTAGTCAAAGGTTTTTCAGCCCCATCTCCAACATAATTTCTCTCCCGCCTTTCACATTTACTTTTGTACCACAAAATAATTTGATTTCAAAAGTAAACAGTATTTGGCATCCCAGTTTTAATTACAATTTAACACAGTCTCTTAATTAGCTGAGATATTTAATTTAGCTTTCATTCCATGCAATTATACACTCTCATAACCCATGAAAATTTGTAATTATCTCTAACCTCATTAATGAGGACTACTAAACTACGGTTTGATTCATTTTTATCAGGTTTTTAGAAGAACCACAAGCTTCTCCTACTAAGTGTAGCTACTTGAAAAAAAGTGAAGTTTCCTACTGAACACTTAAGAGTTTGCTGAGAAGTACATCCTCAGTTACCTACACCTAAAACTGCTTTAGCATATTTACTTAGTGCACAGCATTTACTTAAAACTATTTGGTATCTCCCTTGTTTTATTTTCAAATATTTAGTTCATGCTGTTAAGTTCACTAAACAAATCACTTTCCAGGACTGCTTTACTTTAAGGACAGGGACGGCCTGTATGTTTCTCCAAAACGAAAGCCCAGTGCAGGTAGAACCTTCCTTGACGTGTATGTCAGATTAAGAGACAGAAAATACCCATAAAGCTTTTCCTACAGAAGGAATTTGCTTTGAATATCAGTCACCACCCTGCACGCTCAAACAACTTGCTCAGATGTACTCCCAATTTCAGTAAGGTCTGGCTACCAAAAAATTCACGTAAAAGGAAAAGCAAACGACAGCCCAGTGAAGCAAGGGGCAGGCATCCAGCAGAGCCTGCGGGACAGACCCTCTGCCCCAATCTTTTGTCCAGATCTGTCCCTGGAGCAATCACAGCAGGTTGTATTTAAGAGGCCGCTGAAGACAGACCCTTAAGGTTGCAAGGGTGATGCCCTCATCAGAGTGACATTTTATTACAAGCACTGTGGAAAAAGGGGGTGGTTTGTGTAGCCACTTCCCCTCTCTAAACCTACTTACAATCACTCTTCTTAGCACCTAATGAGAACCGGGACAAGGCTAAGGACTGTAACTCCAGGGAGGTGCTTTAACTCGGTGATACAGCTTGGGAAAAGCTCAACAAGCCTTTCAGAAACTGCCAATCAAACAGTGCCAAATACATTGCTTTCCCTTCCACGATGACACAGAATTCTGATGAAGCCTATATGCTTTTCTCTCAGTTAGGATGCATGAGATTACATCTAGATTTTAGTTTTGCCAAATAACTACATGTTTTATCTATTTATATATAATATTCATTGATTTTGTTCATAGACAGTTTCTTTCCAAAAGCATTTAAAAATGTATTATTCCCTTCTATTATAACAGCTAGACAGGGAAACGGAGGACACAGGAAAGAATGGGGCAGAAATGTTACCAATTACAATGAAAGCATGGCTAGAACTTCCACATTCTGAAAGAGGGCTGGAAGTACACACTCCTATTACAGTCACCAAAATTTAATGCCATCTGATCCAGAAAGACAGATTTCAAACTCCTGTAGTACAGAAGTCTCATTCTAAAAAGCTGTTCTATTATTAGGTTTGATAACTGCCTATATTGCAAACCCTACTACAAGAAAATTAAATTATGTACAAGATACAATACTAGGTCTTCAGACAATTACATAAGGTTTTTGATGTACTGAATTATACACAATAACGACTCCTGTGTCTCTTAAAAATCTACTTCGGACATTAAGGACTAGGTTTTCAACAGTGTATCTGGGTAATTCCCTTCCATCATAAAGGCTTAGCCACAAATATTTTAACTAAAGCTCTCCCTGAGAATATAATTATACAAAAGACTTAGAAAATAAGACATTTAATCTGTAATTAACGCTATTTGATTCCTTCTTCCCCAAACTAAAATAAGGAAGCATTAAGGAAGCATTACTTCCATTCTTCTGAATAGTCTTCAATGACACAAAGAAACTGGATCCACAGTCTAAAGCCTTATTTATCTATAAATGGCAGAGGCAAAACAAGCTCTCCAACCACAATCATGCTCAACTTAACCGTGCAGGTATTCTTGCCAAATTCAAAAGAAGATTTGTGCTTCCTCACTACTAATCTTCCCCAATCAGATTAAACAACTGGGCATGTCTTTTCTGTCTGCTGTAAGGTATCTCTGAAGCTCACTAAGAAATTATTAAGTCAAATCATTACTCTTCAGTAATCAAAAGGGTCTCCTGGTGATAATAGCCTTTCTTTCTTTCTAATCGACCTCTTGAATTTTTCAAGGACGTCTTTAGCCCATTACCTGTCCCCATAGTGATCTAGTTTGAAACGTTAAAATATTAATGAAAAGTGAATACAAACCTGGCTGTTCTTCCCACTCTGTGGATGTACGTATTTGCATCTTCTGGACAATCAAACTGAACAACCCAGTTCACTGCTGGAAAATCTGTGTGAAGACAAAAAGAAGCCAAAATTTAAGCTCATTGTACTCAAAATCCTCCTATTTGGGAGCAGTATATTATTTTGGAGCATTAATTCTTTTAAGAACCATCATTTAGACCAACTTACAGACACTGGGTACAACCTCTGAAATGAAAATAAAATTAATTGCATGTATTAGCATATCATAAACAATCATCCTCTTCAAAGAAAGCTAAAATTAATGGTGTCTTCATTTCCTACATTATGACAGTGCACTGAATGGAACATAATTTCACACTTGACAGGAACAGACATGCTTTGTGCCACACAGATGGTAAAACAGCACTACATTTAATAATTCAGCAACAATATCTGACACACTTTTCACCTACAGTATCAGTATCCTACACCACTGGGGTTTGAAGTTAGCTGTGGCAAGACAGCACTACTTGTGCTGTCCATCCAGAGTATCATAGTCCTGCTCAAAGATGGGAGAGGGTGACCAAGCCTGACAAAGAAGCCACCATTGAATGTGAATGGCACTATTAATAAGCATTTTCTAACTTCAGCCGGCAGCAGCACACTTGCACTGGCTTAAGTTTGTGCTGACCGCATCTGTAGCGACCCTGTATTTCACAACTATACCTACACTCTAAACCTGAACAACCACACCCACATTAGATCCTCACTAGTGAGATTTTAGCAGTGTAGAAAGTATGACAAACAGTCTTCATTTCTGCCTTCAGTTTTCCAAGCACCTTCCTTCCTTTTGTAGACTACTAACAAAACCTTGCATTTTGGACAATGGAGTTTGCTGTCTGAGAGAACAGCAAGTAGACCCTGAAAACAGTCTTGTGTCATACTTAAACGCCTCCAAGTACTAAGGAAAAAAAAAAGTCCAAAGCATCCACAGAAAATATAAAGTAGTAAATCATAATTCAGCAGGTAATGACCAGAGGAAAAAAACTCAAGCCAAAACAGGTCCTATAAATGTTCTTGCTTATTCCCTCATCTATTTTTTTGCCTCCTTAAGAATACAGCCCTATAATGTCATTCATAGCTCAGACATTAAAATTTCTTCAGGTTTTCATTTACACAAACTAGTAGGTTAGCAATGTTTCATACCCTTTGGAATAATCCACAGGATACAGGCACATCAGAAATACTTAAACCTGCTGAAATCTTGCTTTAAGGCATGTGGTAAGCATATACATCACTATTTCTATTTTCTCTTGTTCCAGATATTCATCATAGAACATGGCTGGAAAAAATAGATTTTCTACAGACTTAAAAAAACAAGACAGCTTCCACTGACTACCTCACTAACACATGCCGTTACAAAACTAGTGATAACATAATACGTCCTTCTAGAACAAAAATAAAAAATAAGCACAAATGAAGAGGGCCTCTTCAGTAAGGAAATGGCAGAACTCTAAGAAGGGTATCTCTTCTGAGACACCCTAATGAGCTCTAAGCAAACTACAGCTTCATTTCTTACAAATCAAGTTGGTCTTCAGAGCGTGAATTCCGACAAAGTCTCAACAGGGTCAAATCATCACTTTGTGAGTAACTATTGCTTCCGTGGGTACATACCCAGGCCACGAGCTGCAAGATCTGTAGCGAAAAGTACTGCTGCCTTTTTCCGAACAAAACAAGTGTAGACTTCCATTCTCTTCATCTGATGCTGCTTGCCATGGAGCGCCAGGACAGGAAGACCAGGCTGAAGCTTACAGAACACTCTGAATAGATACTGGACCTACCCAACAAATCATGAGGAAAAAAAAATTTACCATGCAGTGTTAAATTTGTTAAGATCATATCCAGTATAGAGAAACTAACTTAGCACATCAAATAAAATGTACTTCTCTCCACGTCAGAGACAAGCAATGCTATTTTGAGACTTTGTCATAGGTCCAGCTACTGAAAGAGGAAATTAACTGTGCCAGAAGGCTGGTATGCCTTTTGGTGCCAGTTCCTAAAAGGAACCAGAGTAGATAACAGCAAGCATGACTTGGGACATGACTATGTCTGGCTATATGCAAGGGACCGAAGTATCAAGAGTCCATCAGAAGCACTGCTTTTAGACAGTACTGGAGGGGTGGAGTGTCTTATGCTTGCACTCAAAACAGTCTAGACAGTCTTGGTTCACTATTTCAAGCTTCAACAGGTTCTCTTATAAAAGCAGTATGTTTAATCTCACGTACAGTGCCATGATGCAGCATTATTTGTTATAGCAGGCAGCTATCTAATATTTTTTTAATAAAATAGTTACAGAAGCTGCATATCTTGCAGCGACAGCTGCAGCTCAGAGGATTTCTGTACAACTAAGCCTACCACCTCACTGTTCTCACCAGCCAACTGCAGAGCAACAAAAATATTGTCAACCTCTTGCACAAGTGGAAGAACCGCAATGAATATTTACTACACCACTGCATGTTGTAAAATATTCAACACATGCAGTAGTTACAGGCATAAGTACCTATGCCATACAAACACATACAAATAACTTCAGCAGAATAGTCCCAGAACATCTATACAAGTAGATATCTGGAGGATTACTTTCTACATAACCACAAGAAAAAAACTTTCCCTGCACTATTTTACAACTGTCATTTCTTCTAAAGGCAGATTTTAAAGTTTGTAAAGAAAGTAGGTACAACTATTAAAATACTCTGTAACCCGACTAAACTGAAATAGCTGGCCCTTAGCAACATAACATTTAGCATTCATTTTAACAGCAGAGCACAAAAATGGCTGAGTACACCGAGGTCTCCAGGACAATCCCGCATCAAGCCTGGGTAGCTGAGCTTCCCGGCAGCCAGGCCCTGCATGACATGCCTACAGGAGCAGGTGATGCTTAGTTTCTCCCCCAGTTTCCTGCTGCAAACTAGTCCAGAATCTCACCTCTCTGGTGCCTCGACATCTACATAACTATCTTAACAGTTTTAAAATGCTGTGGGGGAAGCAGGGGGAACAGCCATACCTCTTTACAGCTTGCAAAAAACACAATGCTCTTCTTTTTCAAGTGACTTCTCAGGAAAGAGTATAACACGTTTACTTTTTGCTGAAGCTCACAAACAACGTAGTTCTGATCCAAAGTTGCTGGGGTACTAAAAAAAAAAAACACCAACCCAAAAGTACAGTTACTGTTAGTTCCGATAACATTAAAATGAGAAAGAAAAGAAGAGAGAGAATACATAAGCATACAACATCTACAAAGCTGCCTGACCTTTCTTCTAAGTCAAGACTGTCTGACAAATACCTAGAAAAACCAGAAGGAAAAAAAAAAGAAAAAAGAATTCAAGCTGGAAAGTTCTCCTACTTTGAGGAACAAGCCTCAGCAGCTCCACTTGAAAGTTGCTTTTGAAAGATGAATCAATTTCCTCACTAAAAGTCAGTGGGGAGGAGGGGACGACTTTTGACATTACTTCTAAATTCATTTACTACCAGCAAGTCAAACTCTTTCCATGTCTAAGCAGCGACATTCAAATTGCCTTGACTTTAAACGCAATTTGGTCTATTAGTCCTATTAAAAAATCATTTGTGCTCAAGGCAATGTCAAAGCACAGCCTAATCAGGCACAAAAAAAGAGCACTGATGTACTTCTACTGATTACACCCTGACATGCAAAGTGACTTTGTGAAGCTCTGAATCGTCATCTTAACTCACCTTTCCATGCTTTACAAAATAAACTAAAAAAAAAAAAAAAAAAAAAAACACCCTACAAATTTCTTGGCGTATTTGCCCTTGAAATACATCTAAATGCTCGTCTCTCACAGTTCCTCTGCTTCAACCTAAACAGACTAAAGGTATTCAAAATTAGTGTGTTAAAGGTACCGCTTGGAAGGATGAAATTACAAGACACCGCTCCAGTCCTGCTAGCCAGTTTGAATTATGCCACAGCAACTTTTGCTTTGTAAGTCTTTCAGAGGAAACTTTTCATAAGGCAACAACCTATTGTATACTAAAGCAGTAAATTCTAAAACAAATGAATACTTTCCTTTTTTTTATTCAGTTTATTATCTAATTTTAAAAATATTTGAGTGAGTGAAAAATTAAATGTGATTAGAAATAGACTTCACAAAAAAATGTGAGATCTGTGAAACAGATATATAGTCGGTCCTCAACATGAAGATTACATACTAAGTTTGTACAACCTCTTCTGCTAAGAGGCTATTAACCACACAATTTTTTCAGGCAATCATGCTTATTTAAGATGCCTTTGATAGCACTACTGATTAAAAAAAGGTATTTGCAGTACAATACAGAGATAATCAAATCAAATAGTTAAAACTGCCTCAGGATTCAGCCTAAATCTGCTGTTCATTTTGCTGATGATTCCTCATTTGCTGTTGGGAAAGCCAGTTTTAACACTGTGCTTCACCCTTCTGCATTTTACTTATGCAAATATATGCATACTTCATAGAAGAGCAGAAAAAAATCATACACGTTCATAAGCAATTTGACACATATATGACAGAACCCACAGAAATGCAAATTATTAAATACTTTCCTTAACTTAGCTTTTGAAAGAAAAAACGTGCCAAAAGACAACATGCACATTTTTTTCATTCAGTCACACATTAAATTTTTTGAGCTTGGCAGACCACATATTGCACTTCTCACATGGTCCTCCCATTCTGATCCAAACTGTAGAGCATGAAAAATTTATTTCATGTGCACATTAAACCCAGCACATCAGGAAGCCACAAGACTTACTGCATATGGACTAATGCCACATGCTTTCCTTTGGGCATCTCATACTGAATACACAAACAAGACTGTCATTCTGCACTTTCCCAATAGAGCAGCATTTCCTTGGAAAGCCAGATTTATCCATGTCACACAGAGGAACCGTATTTTTGCAATACATCTGGTGGTTCTCCACAGTAAGTATGAACACACAGGAGAGCATGGAAGCCAAACAACAAAAAAGAAGCAATTCAGAAGACACTACTCCATCCAGGCTATAACCCACTCTGGGGCTTTGCTCATGAGGAAGAAAGATTCCAGTCTGCAAAGCTACCTGAAAAGCCACAAGGAAAGTGCAGGTTCAGCCTCTCTGAAGTGAACCAGTCAGAACTGGTACCCTCTTATCTGGAAATTCCTTGCTTTCAGGGTGGCAGACAACAGGATGAGACACTGCAGGAAGGAGAATGCATGGCACATCTTCTGATTCAGGGAACTGATAGCCAGAGCAACAGTTAACTCTCTGTTTAACCTCTCCCCACCTCTCAAAAAATAAAAAATAAAAAAAAAAAAAAAAAAAAAAAAAAGAAAAAAAAAAAAAAAAAACAAATAAAAAGAAAAAAAAAATCACAACATACCTGAATTTGGCTCTCTCATGAACCCAAACATATTCCGGATCTTTCAGGCTCAGACGTGCAAGATCCTTCACTGATTTTGTTTGTGTTGCGGAAAAAAGCAAGGTCTGGCGTTTCTTAGGTAGATTTTCTATGATTGCATTCATTGTGTCAGCAAACCCCATGTCTAGAATTCTATCAGCTTCATCAAGAACTGAATTGAGAAATAGTTTGAGAAAATCTGGTTTTAGCTTTATTTTTATAAAAAGTAAAATCCATACAGTACAAAAATGCATGGCTACTTAAATTGCAGAGATTAATTTCTCTGTATGACTGGATTCTCTTTAGATATTAATGTACTCTATAAAATGTGTTTTTTAAAATATGGCAATAGAAGTTATAGCATTTCCCATAGTCTATGCACTACAGCCCTCAGTTTCACATGCTGAGGCATAAAAGGTGAGCACTTCAAGTAAACAGTTCAGCAATTTGCAGAAAGACTGCAAATTACAAACTCCCTGTCCTATTACTGAAACAAAAGCATGGAATATAAAACAGTGCTGTACTATTCAGGAAAGAACAAAACAGTCTCCCCTGCACCTAAGTGGAATCTACCATTAAAACACAGGGTATAAACTGAGTAGCACAAAGCTTTAAGAAAAAGGCCTACATTTAATGCAATTCTAAGTACAATTTCACATTTTATCAGCTTCATTAGCTTCTTAATTGCTTCTAAGTTCCTCAAGCTAGGCAAAAGATTATGCAGTTCTTAGAGGCAGGCAAATCTTTTCATTATACTGACATTTTCATTCTGGTTGGAAGGATGAAAAGAAACAATGTTAACAATGCTAACAAAACAATGAAAGGAGCAGCGATCTGTCTTAAAATTCATAGAAAAGTGTTTTCCAGAACTGGCCCAAAACACACACACTGCAATGGATATTCCAAATAGTTAATTATCATGTCCCAGAAAGAAAAGGCCAGCGTTAGCCAAGACAGATCTAAAATATTCTGTGGGACACTACATTTGGTTTTGGGTTCCTTACTAACTCGCCTACTTGTTCTTATCATCCTAAGGAAGGCATGCTCGGCAACCAGTTGGGAGAAGTACACACAAGAAAGGGGTTTTGTTGTTTCCTTTTTTGATTTGTGCATGTGTGAACTTCAATGCCATTTCATCTACATACCACGACTAGGATAAACTTTTTAGCCAAGGAAGTGCTCCACACAATTATGAACTGTTACAAAATATTTCTGAGTACTTTCAAGCACTCAAAGAACTTACTCAACATTTGCAGATCAGACACATAGAAATACGATGTTTCATCCATGTGCTGCAGAAGCCGTCCTGGAGTGCAAATTAGCATATTTATATTGTGGATTCTTTCAGACTCTTCTTTCAGATCCTGAAAAGGAGTTAAACCCGTTCAGCTCTAGTTTTTCACACTAGAAGCCCAGTACTAGAGATGGTCAGGCCAGCTTAACCTACTGATAGTTTTTAGAAAGAACCATCAAGGATCAGGCTTTCCTCTTTCTACAGAGATACTACAATTTCTTCAGCATGCTCACGCTTGTGGCTTGAGCCAAAACTATTTCAGAATAATCTAAATTAACAGGATAGTTGGGAAAGGCTTAGCAGGAAGGCCCATCCAGTCATGTAACCTGGAAAGACTGTAAATATGGAAAAGCTTCAAAAGACGCAGAATACACAGACAGGAAAACGAGTGGGTCACTGATAGTTTCCCATTAACTACTCTCTTCTCTGACATTTTTATTTCCAGGGTTTCCTTCCTAAACCAGCACTTAATATAGCACTCATTTATGCTTCCATACAGCAGACTCCAAGAGAGGACACACCTTTCCTCCAATGATGAGGCCAGCTGAAAACTCATGATTTCTTCCCACTTTACGCAGAACCTTAAAGGTTTGATATGCCAGTTCCCGGGTAGGCGATATTATCAAAACTCCCAACCCATCAGCTGAAGTCCACTGATGGCGATACAAGAGTTCCAAAGCCTGAAAAAAATACCACATTCTCATTATAAATATCTCAGAAGTAAAACATGTAACAACAACAAATTTAACAAACAGTGTCATTTAAAGATAAAGCCATACTAATCAAGATAAAGCCATACATATTAAGATAAAGCCATACTAATTAAAATCATGACTTCAAGAAACATCAGCATACATTTTACACAGTTTGATTATATATCAGTTCTAACTGATTGTAATGATACTTGGTGAAGCAAAGTTCCCCAGTACTAGTCTATGACAGACAGTAACGGGTGGTAAATCCTTAACATTTTACTGTACAACTAATCCTACTCTGCTACATTCTGGAAATTAAGCCTTAATCATTTGTACGAGAACAGAAATCAGATGTAGAAATCCATGAGGAACTTCCCTGCTCATAGGGTTTTGTGGGAACCAGAAACAGAATGAGCAACTATTATGAGCTGCTGGAGAGCAGCTCTGCGGAGAGGGACCTGGGAGTGCTGGTGGACAACAGGTTGACCATGAGCCAGCAGTGTGCCCTTTCTGCCAAGAAGGCCAATGGGATCCTGGGGTGCATTAAGAAGAGTGTGGCCAGCAGGTCGAGGGAGGTTCTCCTCCCCTTCTACTCTGCCATCTGAACATGAGGAAGAACTTCTTCACTCTGAGGGTGATTGAGCCCTGGAACAGGTTGCCCAGAGGGGTTGTGGAGTCTCCTTCTCTAGAGATACTCAAAACCCGCCTGGACAAGGTCCTGTGCAGCCTGCTGTAGGTGACCCTGCTTCGTCAGGGGGGATGGACTAGGCGATCCACGGAGGTGCCTTCCAACCCCGAACATTCTGTGATTCTGTGAACTAGAAGAAAGCCAATTATTGCAGCTCTAATTCTGGTCATAGGCTTGAAGCAGTACTACCCATACATGCTGTATACAGAGCATTCCAACTAAAGTTGCCATACACCCCAGACCAGGATTATTCATCCTCTTACAAACTTATACCGCAGAAAGACTGTCTTAGTCAGCTCACCCTAACATAAAGATTTCATAGGTATGAATACTTCAAGCGTTCTGAAATTCTGAAGGCTGTTAAGCATCCTTGTACAATTAATTTTTTTCCACTCTTCATCCCTCCAGCTCCTCTATCACTTACCTCCCCTAAAACTGTTTTCAAATAAGGTTTGTAAAACAAAGTATTTCTAATCCTAGATTAACTAATAGAGCAATCTCACTTTTGTTTCTTAAGTTCACAAGACTATATTTTGTAGCATCTACTTTTTTTTCCCTTTACTAATAAAAAATAAATTTAAAAAAAGGCACAAAGAATAAATCTTCTCAACTACAGAGGGTATGCAAAACACCTACTACTATTCCCACAGTAGCTGACAGAATAGGCTCCAAAGAAATTTATGTTCACAAAAATGCAAGTAATGTTTAACCCTAAAAAAAACCCAAACATAATCAAAACGTTTCTTTTTCCCTTTATCTAATCATAACATGATGGGGTTTGTATCCACTTATATGTGCACTTTAAGCAAATAAACTTCTCAATTATACTTTCAACTTGCAGAAATGTAGCGCAGGGCATGATGTCTTGAGTAAAACACTCAAACCCCATGACGAGTTTTCATCCTGTTTTCCCGCTGGCACCTGGAAGTGATTTCTAAGGAGTTCACAAAAGACAAAAAGGAAATGGAAGTCCACTATCAGGAAGCTTAAGTTTGCTACATAAAGTCCAAATCCTAAAATTTTAAAAGGTGAAAACCACCCATCTAAAAAGTCTAAGGAACTGAAGAAATTTCACCATTCTATTCCACACACTTAGTTTTCAAATTTTAAAACAAGCCAACAACTAGAGTTGCACACAGAAAACAGATTCCTGAGAGAAAAACAAAGCACTTCCTAAATCACTACTAACATAAGGATCAAAATGGAATTTCTAAGTGTCAGAATATTCCTAGGGTCAAGAATATAACTCTTGCAGAACTTCAAGCAGCTTTATTAAACGTGTATCTTGGATTTCTTGGAACATCCAGATCAGCTGAATTACAACCCTTCTCCCAGGATCAAACATAAGCTGTCTGACATCCAATACTTCCTGGATAACTTGGTTTAGGTACATATGGAAGGATGTAAATTACTTACGGGGACAAGAAAAGCCAAAGTTTTGCCTGATCCAGTCTTCGCAGCTCCAAGTACATCTTTACCTTGTAAAGCCAAACCTATGGTTTGCCTCTGTATCTCTGTTACCATGCGGTACTGAGCTTCCTGAAGTCCTAGTATTTGTAGTGTGGGAAGAGAAGAGAGGACGTGGGAAGGGGGGGAAGAAAAAAAAAAAAATTATTTTTGTCTTGCCCAGAGCTGTATTCACCCTTTTAGCAAACACTGTACATGGTAATACTTACCTAAAACTTAAGTTTAAAGCAAAAAACTTTTCAGATGAAGATTAATACGTTCATTTTTACTCAAAATACTTTCCAAAGAAAACTTTTATACTTACCTTCTAGGGTTTTCTTTGACAATGGAAAGTCTGAAAATCTCTGAATTTCACTTGCATTTATCTGAAACAAAGTAAGTTTAATCAGTGCTTACAATCTCAGCACAACAGAGAAATTAACTCAGACCACCATGAAATCACAGAACAACTGACGCTGAAAAGGGCCTTAAGAGGTCTCTGCTCCATCCTCCTGCTCACAGCAGGTCGGCTCTGAGGTCAGACTGGGCTGCTCAGGGCTTCATCCAGTCCAGTCCAGTCATGCAAGGACAGAGACTGGACAGCCCCTCTGGGCAACCTGTGCTTCTGCCTGACTGTCCTCAGGGGCAAAACGTGTTCCAGGCTGAGCCTCTCTTCTTTCAACTTATGCCTGTTGTCTCTAATCCTTCTGCCCTGCTCCATCTCCTAGATCATCTTCCCACAGACACTGAGGGCTTCTGTAAGGTCCTCATCCCAACCCCAAAGTCACACCTGCTTCAGGCTGACCAAGCCCAGCTCCCCCAGCCTCTCCTCACAGGGCAAGTACTCCAGCCCTACCCCCTCGGTGGCCCTCCACTGAACCGGATCCACTTTACTGATGTGTTTTTCTTATTGGGATGTCCAAAACTGGAGGGAGGGAGGCAGGGGAAGAAGGCAGGCAGGGAGGATCACATTTTAAAAAGATACTGTGGTATGCAAGCGCCACAAGCCCCAGACAGAACTCGCAATTAAAACTCACGCTACGCATTTCACATACAGTATCTCTAAAATCAGAACTTCTGTAGCCTTTTTCTCTCAAACTGTCCCAGTCAGACTAACTACCAACAGAGATTATAATAAAATACGTATGGCAAAACACGTAACTAGCCAGTTATTTCATATTTCTGTGTGGCTGCAACAAGCACTGAGTTTATAATTCATGAACACTAAGCACAAATTCATTTTCCTGGGAATACTCACAGAGGACCAGTTTGGCTTTGGAGGCTACTGCAAATGGAGTAATAATAGTCACATCCCATAAAAGTGATCACTCTGAGCTCTTACCTCCCTTCTTTTTTTAACCATTAACCATTATGGCTTAAGAATAAAACATCATCATGCTGCAAAGTACACAGCCCTTATCTTCCTGAGAAAGAGAAGCTCACTTGCACTTGTAACAATTTAACCCTTATGGCTCCTATCGGTAAAGGCCGACCCCTTCACCTGCAAGCCCCATGTGCAGACACTGCTGGCAGCCTGCCTACAGCCTATACAGCCTTACAAAAGCCAAGCTGCCCCTTCCTGTCCGTATTTCCAGATCCCTTGAAGCAATGAGGATGAAGGTATTCCGGCTGCTGAATGAGATCACACATCACAAAAGCAGGTCAGTGTTCCGCAGGGTAAAGGCCTGGTAAACAAATGCTTGGGGAAATAGCTCCAGACAAGAAACACATTTCTCCACCACCTCACTTTTCCACTTTGACTGTACCTATATTTAGCGTTAGGGTATGTGATTAAAGATTAATAACTGTGAACTCAACGACCCCACAAGAATCAGTGGAACGACGCCGGGGAAGGAGCCCTGATAACGTCATCACTGCACATGGCGATAAAGCACCCCGATCCAGCTGCTCCCAGGGACCATTGGAGGAGAGGGGTCAGCCCACAGTCCCCGGGTGAACCCCACGGGGCCACCGCCTCCCCAGAAGGCCCTGCAGACTGGCGGGGGTCAGTGCCTGCAGGGAGAGGGGCTCATGGGGGCTGCAGGGGAAAAGCATTTGGGGATGTTGCATGGCTGCTTGGTTTTAGTGGGGCTGTGGGAATGTGCAAGACTTATCATTGGGTGTTTAGGGGAAGGATCAAAGGCAGGGAAAGGGAGGGATCAAGGTGGACTGGGGAGGAACCAGCGTGAGAAAACAGAGGCAAAAGGGGATAAAAGGAGCTGGTCCTTGGTAACATCTGATTCATCTGTATGCTCATCTGACTGAGCTCTGCACCCCACCAGCCCAGCCTATCCTGCAGTCTTAGTAAATATTCTTACCTAGTAACTATTACTACTACTATTAATAACTACTAATAATAATACTTACTCTTGCATTCTTTCTACACTGCTGTGTGGGCACACCCTCTCTTCTGAGCCCGTGTGAGAGACCACCAGCAACCTCCCAGCCGAGCCCGAGAGCCGAGTGCCGGCAGCCGGAGTGGGACCACGAGCTGCAGGGGCTGGAGGGTGCCAGTGCCAGCACCTGGGGAAACTGGGGCCTAGGGCCAGCCCTGGGGCAGACGGAGAAGCTGATGCCAGCTACCGGTGAGACCCATTTTCCATGTGTGGGTACTTATTTGAGTAGCGGACATCAATTCTGACCAGCCAGAGAGGAACAGTCCCTGTCACCCATGCTGTTCACGTCTGTGTAGCACTGCCTGTGCGTGCCTGCACAGCTGCTGATGGATGCAGGGCTCTGTGTCTGTCTGTCTGGACATGTGTGTGTGCACACACGTGCACCTCCGTGGAGTACAGGCTCACCCTCACCGCAGGTCGGACCAGGGGACCCAGAACCACAGCAATCTCACATCTGTCTGACTGGGACAAGAAGAGCCCACCTATGTCCTGAAGCTCACCAGATTCACCAACCTCTAGCACCCGGCATACTTCATTTTTCAGAGCTGTCCTACAGGGTACAAAACATACCAAAAAAGTAGTTCATTATCCTGACATCTACTACTTCACTTCTCTGTATGCATCCGCCTCTACAGCATACTTGAGAGCTGTTAATTATACACACACACACAAAACCCCCAAGAGCATGTGTTTGAGTCCATGGGTTGGATGAATGCTTTACAAAAATGTTGAGATGTCAAGTAGAGATCTTAAGAAAAACATAATACTTTCAAGTCTGTTCTAGCTGATAGAAGATCATCACATAATGCAGATAGCCGCTAGCAAAGTTCAAAAGAAACAACAGCAGCAGGACAGAAAAAAAACCACAGAACTCATGGGGGGGGGGGGGGGGGGGGGAGTA